ATTAGAGAAGTATCTTTCTTGTGTGTTGGACCTTTGCCAAGAAATAATGGCCATCTTTGCTTTTTTCTTCCCGGGACTCTTGGACCCCTGCCAAATTATGGAAGAAATTGAAGAAATACGGGAAACCTTTTCAGCAATACAGACCTCTTTAATAGCCTTGCAACTATCCCAACAGGCAATAATAATGCAACAGAAGGATGTTTTAATTAAGCAACTTGACTGTTTCTTGATTGAACAAAAGGCTGGCTTTGATCAGCTAGATTTTTCCATTAACCAAGCTTTTCAGAATATGCAAAATATACAGCAAGTAGAAGAAAAGTTTGAAACTGGGAAGGTAACAAATAAATTATTATAGGATGGGCTTGTAAATAGACAACAAGCAGATGGATATTTGGAAACATCAGGAATAAATAAGCCTCTATGTGATTTGCTTGTTATGCTGGAAAAAGAGAAGATAGCGGGGCTACAGTCCAAGACACATGATCTACAGCAGACACTACGACATTCTAATGTAAACAAAGAAGCAACGGGCAGACATGATTTATTACATGATTTATCACAGGCATTTTTTTTGTATGAGCAGAAAAGTTGGCACAATCTGTGGAGCTAATTAGCATGAGGTTATTGGATTTGCTTGCTATGTTGGAAAAGGAGAAAACAGTTCATGATTTAAGAGAGGCTTTGTTCATGTGGCTACATTTGAAAATTCTATTGCAGATATTACAATGTTATAATGTAAAGAAAACAGAAAGGTTTGATAGAGGTGTAAAAAAAAAATCAAAGGGAAGATAAGAGAACTTTCTTCCTTGTTATTTCAAAAAGGGGTGACGCATAGAGGTTGGTATGCTCATATGTAACATAGAAAAGCTAAGCTACTGTTCTTGGTGAAGCTTTAGTAATTCAGTTCGGCTAAAAGATATTATAGGTATTAGTATCACCAAATAGATCAATCAATGGTGCTTTTAAAGATGTTAAGTGGATGTTTTTGATTTTATCCGTATTTGAAAATAAGAGAATTCATTATAGGTATTAATAATCATCAAATAGAGTTGTTAACCCTTTTTTAGAGATGATAAATGGATGCTTTTGATGTTATTTGCAACTGTAGAGATTTTTCTCTTTCTTTCTTTTTGTTCTTCTTTTCATCTTAAAAAGGGATGATTTAAATAGGCTGGTATGTTCACATGAGATACAGAAAGGCTAATTTAATATGGTTGGTGAAAACTTAAAAATCTAGATTAATGAAACATTGTTAAAGGGATATCTCTGACTATATCTGTAATTGAAAATAGGAGAACTTACTATTTAGAAAAAATAAAACTGAATGACTTATATGGGTAAGTCTATATGTGATTTTGTATGGAAATAACTATATTTGATTAAATGGAGTTTAAGTTAGATGAAACATTAGTAAGTGAGTTTAAAGAATATTGGCTTAAAGTTATCACCAAGCAGAGTAGTTAGGATGCCCTTTGAGATGTCAAATAGATCTTTTTGAAGTTGCTAGTAATTGTGGTAGTGAGGAAGTTATTTGATAGATTTTGAATTGTTCAGAAATGTTTAGATGAAACCTATCACTGAAGAAGAAAGAAGATGTTGTAATTTCACCCAACTTGGAGAAGCTTCCCTTAAATAATGGTCAAGAGAAACAGGACTTTGTAAGAAAAGATGGGATTGATTTCACCAATGAAGAAGAAGGAAGAAGGAAGATAGTGACTTCTATCAAATCTGGAATTATTTTTTCATTTGGCTGGAGAAACAGGACTTAATTTTGACCAAAAATGTTTTCATGTTATTATAAAAGGATTTTAGCATGATCATAGAATGTTAAAAGATATGTTGTAAGGGGCTGACCTAGTAAATCTGATGCGTGAAGAATAGTTTCTAGCTGTTCTTGTAAGACTAGATCTCTTTAATGGGCATGTAACACAGTTTTTGGTGATAGAGAAGGGTGTGTAGGAGGTTGATCTCCTCCTCCCTCACAAGGAGCTTATGCAAGTACTGAGTTTTTCTTTGGTATCATGAAGGCATGTGTTGTCATTTGAAAGATCAGTGTGGCACTGAATTGCCAAAGCAATGCCTAATCAACTACAGGTCTAGAAAAGTAGAAGCAGGCACTTTGGAAGATTTGATCCCAGATCAAATCAGGCCAGAGCTTTCCTTAGAAGCTGCCCACTGTGAAGTAAAAATAACAAAACTGAGGCTGTCAAACTTCAGACACATCATGAGAAGGCCTAGAGAAAGCAAACATGTTAGGGAAATTTGACAGCAGGAGACAAAACGGAAGACCAAAAATGAGATCAATTGAATCCATAGAGGAAACCACTGCCTCAGACTTGGAAGAGCTGAACCGAATTGTCATAGAGAGGACAGTTTGGAAGGCATTCTTTCAAAGGGTTGCCATAAGTCAGATATGACTTGACAGAACCTGACAGAACATTCATTCATTCATTCATTCATTCATTCATTTTTATTCCACCTAATAGTTGAAGCTCTGTGTGTTGCTAGTCAGTAAATTTTAAAAATTGGAAATTATTACAGGAGAAAATTAACTTAAATCAACAGGACCACAATA